CCCTATACACATCCATGTGGCATTGTTTCCTGAGCTATTATTTGGAGGATTAGAAAATATCTCCTGGATCGCTATGAGAACTCCCTCTGAAGACACAGCTGATTATCGATGGTGATATGCTGTGTTTCTTGTTTTACATCTCTCTGCAAAGCGAAATGGTGCAAGAGATGGCCTAGTGTGTCTTACAAATGTCAATATTCAGCCTAGCCCCATGATCACTGCTACAGACTAGGTGTTGCAAACATTTAAAAATTAAGAATGGCTGCATAAAATCGACTACATAAGAGCAATAAGATAAAATTAGTGTCATCAGTGGTTAAAATGTTATATTTTATGACAGCTAAAATAACACTGTACAGGTACATGAATAGACAAAGAGACAATAGAACAGAATAGAAAATCAAGAAACACTTACCAGTTCATGCAGGGTTTGCCATTTGAAATGGCATTTTAAATCAGTGGGGAAAAAAAAAAGAATGAATTGTTTTTTAACAACTAGTTGTGTTGGAATAAATATGTAGCCATTTAGATGAAATACAATTGGTTTACTCTTCTATACCCTATGTCTTACCAGCTGATTATACATAGTTAAATCATGTCAAAATTTTAAGAGATAAAGCGTCCTTCCCTAAATGAATTTTCTTTTATTTGCTTTTCAGGAGAAAGTTATGCAACTAGTGAACCCAGGTGAGAATTCTTTCTAGTAAAACTTTTAATTCTAGATGTCTCCTTCATTCACAGTTTTAAATATCCACCGAACTCTGCTTGTGCGTAGAGATGAAGGCTCTGTAATTACATGGCATCTTTCTGTGATACTTACTCTTGTCTCTACATTACATTTACACCACCAGGGCACTGTTTTATTGTGGTCCACATGAGCCTAGGTGTTATCTTGTATAAGACTAGATACATTTAATTTATGAATTCATATATTCAAGATTATCGAATACATATAATGAATAAGTAAGTTTTTGTTAGGTATTTAGAGGAATGAAAATACACATAAAATGTTATTTCCTCAAGGGACATACTGTCTTATAGACATGTAATGTAAGTCCAGAGTACAAGAAGGAGTAAGAGAGATAAAGTAATAAGAAAAAGGTAGGCAAAATTTTATGACAGTTTATAAGAAAGAAAATGATTCTGGAGCAATATCATTGTCTTATCTATAACTTTTGGAAAAGCCAAAGATAAGGAACAACATTTTGGCCAAATCAAAGTAGTCTATAAAAAGGACATAAAAATCACCCAGGCATAGAGTCATGATTCATGATTTCTACCTGCTCTCTCCCCAGCCTGTCTCCCCTCTGTTCTCACTCACAGCCCTGGAGACTCATGCAGTTAATTCACTTTCTCACAGAGGTGCTTCCAGGACAAATCCTCAAGTGTCCACCTATTCCAGTCCAATCCCAGACATGGAGGAGCTGCAGCCAGTGTATGCCAATGGTGAGTTTCTTCACTGGGATGGGCTCTGAGGCTGAGGCAGAAAAGAAAGAGGAGATAGAAGTAGAGACCCGTCTAGCCACCCCAACCCCTGAGGCCCAGCCATTCCCAATAAATAAATGACTCTCTCGGAATCGTATTGGAGTTGGGAGGAAACCATTCCAGATCATTAAGCCAGGGTCTGGGAAGATGTGTGTGAAGTTTGAACCCTTGGCCACCAACATCTGTGAACTCTTGTCTTCTCTCTGCAGTGGGCTCTGTAGATATGGATGTGGTTTATTCTCAGGTCAGGAGCATCCAGCACTCAGAAGATTCAGGTGAGAAAAAGCAAAGTGGTTCTTGTCAGATGCATATTCGCAGGAAAGTGATGCATTGTATGCAATAGAGGTTTTATTTATTTATTTATTTATTTATTTATTTATTTTTGAGACAGAGTCTTGTTCTGTCACCCAGGCTGGAGTGCAGTGGTGCAATCTCAGCTCACTGCAACTTCTGCCTCCCGAGTTCGAGCGATTCTCTTGCCTCAGCCTCCCAAGTAGTTGGAATGACAGGCATGTGCCACCATGTCCAGCTAATTTTTGTCTTTTTAGTAGAGACGGGGTTTCACCCTGTTGACCAGGCTGGTCTCAAACTCCCGACTTCAAGTGATCCACCTGCCTTGGCTTCCCTTAGTGCTGGGATTACAGGTGTGAGCCTCCGCACCTGGCCGGCAATAGAGACTTTAATACATTGCTTGCCCTTGATAGGAAATCTGTTGATCCAGGAGGGAGCAAGAGACACTTGGTGGTAATCTCTTGTGAAGAAAGCAAACTTAGAAAACATTGGGAGATGGTCTAATGAGTCTTCATTTGAATGGGGTTAGATAGTCAGGGAGAATCTAAGATACAAGGCAAAGGAAGGAAATCAGGCAAGAATGAGCATGTCTAAAGTCCAAGGTGAACAGGGTCATTAAAGTGTCTCTTTTGAAGGATCTGCAGTCTTCACATGGGATGGGAGGAGAAGCTGGATGAATAAACCTGACCTAGAGAATTTTTACTTTGACATGTAGCTCTGCAGGAATTGTAGAGTTCTGCAGCAGTGCAGAGGAATGTCCTTTAAGCTTCTGCTCTAGGGCCCTTAAAACTGTAACCCTTATTCCAACAACCTAAAAGCTGTCCTTTGTTCTGTGTTCCTGGTTGCCTCTGATGGAGCCGGTGGCTGTTGACAGCTTGGCTGATTTCCTGGTCAGTGGTCATCTAGCTACTCTCCTCTGAAGCTGGGTCCTCTGCCTGTCTTGCTTAGATTTGTGCTGCTTCGGCTTCCAATGGAGAATTGATTACCCTATCATTCTCTATCTCTATCTGACCAGCCTAGCAGAATCAAAAAGGTGCCTTTTTTTTCCAAGCCCTCTAGCTATAAATCTTCAGGAGAAGAAAAGAGATTTGATCCCACTATGCATACTGGAAAGAAGGGGGAAAAGAAACAGACATCACTAAGCAGCACCTGCAACCACTCAAAATGCTGTGTGATTCTGAGTCTGTCTTCTGTTACCTATGCTTCCGCTCCAATTTCCTTCTGTATGGTGAGGTGAACCACACAGGAACATAGGGAAACAACAGGAAACAGCCCTGACAGAATCCTGTAACAGAGAAGTCAAGAAGAAAAAATTGTAAAGCCAAGACTTATGGGAAGTTGCATTAGAGAAGGGAAGGGCTTTGTTAGTAAGTGGTGGAGGGCTTGGACGATGGATAGAGTCTTAGAAGGACTTCAGCGTTAACAACTTTAAGAAGGACTTTACAGAACAAAAGAAAATGGAATTCCACACACTAAGCATAGTAGTTCTATGTTCTGGGGCATGAAGTCTCGGGGTGAGGCCTCAGTGAGAATGCAAGGGCTCAGAACTATTACTTTTTTCTTAACAGCAAACACCATCAGGACATTTCTGGAGAACAAGGTGAGCTAGACTCCTTGGAAGTTCTTGATATTTCCTTCCTCCACCATATTTATTTCCTTGATCACTTAGGTCTTATTCCTGTATGTCTCTCCCAGGACTCCCAAGTCATCTACTCTTCTGTGAAGAAGTAATAACACTTGGAGGAACCAGAGGGGAGGATAAACAACAAGAATGGGGCATTATTAAGACTTGCCATAAAACCTTATGAAAATGCTCAGGGCTTATCACCTGCCACAGCCAGAATGTGCTTCGGGAGCCATCTCTTGTCATCATTTTTGTTCTGATCATTTTCCTTCTCCAATATCTTCTTTTACTTATTAATAGTCATTGAACTGCTACTACATCCAGACACTGTGCAAATAAATTATTTCTGCTACCTTCTCTTAAGCAATCTGTATGTAAAGAGTTGAGGAAAGAATGAATAAGAGATACAAGGTCTCACCTTCACCTACTATGAGGTGACGAGAACAGGACTCGTGGTGTATTAACTTTTTTATGTGCTACTGAATGCAGTTTGCTAGTATTTTGTTGAGAATTTTTGTATGTATGTTCATCAGGAATGTTGGCTTGAAATTTTCTTTTTCCATTGTGTCTCTACCAGATATTTTTATCAGGCTGTTGCTGGCTCCATAGAATGAGTTAGGAAGGAGACCTTCCTCCTTGATTTTTTGGCACTATTTCTGTAGGATTGGTACCAGTTATTCTTTGTACATCTGGTAGAATTCAGCTGTGAATTCATCTGGTGTAGGGCTTTTTCGTTGGTTGGTAAGCTTTTTATTACTAATTCAACTTGAGAGCTTGATATTGTTCTATGCAGGGTTTCTGTCTCTTCCTGGTTCAATCTTGGGAGATTGTGTGTTTCCAGGAATTTATCCATTTCCTCCAGATTTTCTTCTTTATGTGCATAGATTTGAGTGTAAACATAACTTATATTTACTGGGAAACAAAAAAAATCTTTATGACTTGCTTTATTGCAATATTTGCTTTATTTTGGTGACCTTGAACTGAACCTACAATATCACCAAGGTATGCCTATAGTTGCAAAAATGTGCTTTTTGACACAGTAAATATGCATATTTGCAATAAACTATTGTATTACTTTTGTAAGTATATAGAATGAAATATAAACACTCTATGGATTTGATACTATCATATTTCCTTTTTTTCTGTGAATGCACATTTTCTTTTTTTTCAACTTACATTTTAGGTTCGGGGGTACATATGTGGGTGTGTTACGTGGGTAAATTGCATGTCACAGGGGTTTGGTGTACAGATTATTTTCTTACCAAGGTAATGAGCATAGTACCCAATAGGTAGATTTTCAGTCCTCACCCTCTCCTTACCCTCCACCCTTCAGCAGGCCTCAGTGTCTATTGTTCTCTTCTTTTTTAAAGAAAAATTCTAAATTTTGGGGGGTACCTAGTAAGTGTATATATTTATGGGGTACATGGGATACATAGTAAGTGTACGTATTTATGGGGTACATGGGATGTTTTGATTCAGGCATGCAATGTGTAATAATCACACCATGAAGAATGGGGTATCCATCCTCCCAAGCATTTATCCTTTGCATAAAAAAATTCAATTACAATATTTAAGTGATTGTAAAATAGAAAATTCTTATTGATTATAATGGCACTATTAATAGGTCTTAATTATTCTTTTTATTATTTTGTGCTCATTAACTATCCCCACCTTGCCCCCTATTGTTCCCTTCATTGTGTGCATGTGTTTTTTAAAAAAATTTTATGGCTGTGAATGTACATTTTCACTGATATTTTTTCATTCAAAATTTTAGATGCAATGTAATTCATCTTTATTTCTGGAAATATTTTACAGATCACTCCCATTTAAAAAAATTCTGTGATCATAAGGCTCTGTGTTAAAACATTTCTTCTGGATTGGATGATCTTTAGAATTATTATAGGTACAAAACTGATGAAAACCATGGAAATAAATTACAGATTTGTTCAAAATGAATTAAACATTAAATCCATCTTTGAATGACTCAGTGGAGTACACACACACACACACGCACACACACACACATATATTTTTAACTGCACTTTAAGTTCTGGGGTACATGTGCAGAACGTGCAGGATTATTGCATAGGTACATACATGGCAATGTGGTTTGCTGCCTCCATTCCCCCATCACCTATATCTGGCATTTCTTCCCATGTTATCCCTCCCCAGCCTCCCTACTCCCTGCTGTCCCTCCTCTATCCCACCTCAACAGACCCCAGTGTGTGATGCTCCCCTCCCTGTGTCCACATGTTCTCATTGTTCAACACCCGCCTATGAGTAAGAATGTGCGGTGTTTGATTTTCTGTTCTTGTGTCAGTTTGCTGAGAATGATGGTTTCCAGGTTCATCCATGTCCCTACAAAGGACATGAACTCATCCTTTTTTGTGGCTGCATAGTATTCCATGATGTATATATGCCACATTTTCCTTGTCCTATCTATCATCGATGGGCATTTGGGTTGGTTCCAGGTCTTTGCTATGGTAAATAGTGCCGCAGTGAACATATGTGTGCATGTGTCTTTATAATAGAATGATTTATAATCCTTAGGATATATGCCCAGTAATGGTATTGCTGGGTCAAATGGAATTTCTATAGCTAGATCCTTGAGGAATCACCACACTCTCTTCCACAATGGTTGAACTAATTTACACTCCACCAAAAGTGTGAAAGTGTTCCTATTTCTCCACATCCTCTCCAGCATCTGTTGTCTCCAGATTTTTTAATGATCACCATTCTGACTGGCGTGAGGTGGTATCTCAATGTGGTTTTGATTTGCATTTCTCTAATAATGAGTGATGATGAGCATTTTTTCATATGTTTGTTGGCCTCATCAATGTCTTCTTTTGAAAGTATCCATTCATGTTCTTCACCCACTTTTGAATGGTTTTTTTTTTTTT